ACTTTTAAATTGAATTTCGTCCAATAAAAATATATTGTATTAAAACTAAATGAGAGTTTAATTAAAACTAAATGAGAGTTTAATTAATAGTTAACCAAAAATATAAATGGCAAACAAAGTAATATTTTACAGTAACATTACACAAATAGTGTACAAATGAATTTGTAACATTTTTAAATTAATTTATTGCAGTTTTTATATATTTTCATATTAAATATTTATGGTATTTAACTAACTTATACTTTATTATTCCCCTATAAATTCAGTTATTTTTCAACCATGTAGTTATTCTTCGTTTGACTTTATTTTTAATATTCAAGTATCCGATTTTATCTTTTATTCAATTAAGGATGAAGTGCGAATTCAGTTTGATCAAAAAGTCACTAGACCAAGAAACTACCAATGAAGTTGCACGAACAATTCGAATAATTGAAAATAAAGTTGTTGTTGAATACAAAAATTACTTAGAAACTATGTTTCATGGTGAGGAGGTGATAATAATTAATTCATTTTGAATTCATTTTTTTTTCGAATTCGTTGTTTTTAAATAGACATGTTTTATGGAATTTTGCACAATTTAAATTTTATATAACATTTTCAATAAAATATTATACATAAATGCAAAATTGCATTACAAAATTCCATATTTTTAATTTGTAAATATTATTTAATAATAAATTAAAATTTATAAATATTAATGGATATCTCTTACCGTGCATCGCACACGGGATTCGTACTAGTTGCACGAAAAAGGGCGTTGATTTTAAAAGCTAAGGAAATAATTATAAGAAAATGAAGTAAACAGTAGAGTGCGTAAGAATTGCTTTGGCCTTGGAGGCTTTTTAGGAGGTTAGTGTTGATTTCTCGTTGCTTGAAGTAATTCGATTTGCCGAATTGCTTGTAAGTGTGTACCTATTTAGATAATCGTGCTGAACCTTTGATCTTGAGTTTTTAATATATTTGTTGTTTGTGTTTGAAAAAAAAAAAAAAAAACAGAGTGCGTAAGACTTCAACATGCCCACACTTTTGAATGTAACATGTTTTTATTTTGTCATTTTGCAATATTCTTTCGTTTTATTATTTACTCCTTTTCTTTTTTCCCCTCTAAATTTTCTTATCATTAGTGCTCTTAAGGTATAATGTGGACGATATGAGCATCATTTATGAAATATATGAAATAAAAATATTTGCAGTCTCATATTCCATATTCATCTTTTCCCCGTGACAAATTGAATTTTTCTCAAGCGAAATTGTGAGAAGAACAAGATCACTATTAGTCAATGAGCATGGGAGCAAGTTTCAATGAAATTTGGAGAATAACGAGAGCACAATTAGTCAATGAGCATGGGAATAAGTTTCAATATGAGAGTACACTCACGAATAGGAAGCAAGCGAGTTGAGCGACTTGCACAAGTCGCTCGCGAGCGTTTGAGTCAATGATCGACTCAAGCTCGAGCAATTCAATCAAGCATAAAACTCGAGTCTCAGGCATCATTTCAAATGCTCGTAAACTCGATGAGTCACTCGATTTTTATTTGCATAAATATTTCATATAGTTTAATTATCAATATTGGAGCATAAAGGCTAAAATTATCTATTTAAATAACAATAGTACCATTGTATTAAAATTTCGTTGTTAAAAGTTCAAGTCGAATTCGAGCCATGGAGCGTCGAGTCGATCTCGGGCATCAAGTCAGCTCGAACATTCTTGTTTTTTTCATGCGTCGAGTCGAGCACTATTTTACATGTCGAGCTCAAGTACTAAAGGAAAACGTTGCAACGCTCGGCAAGATCCATGCGTAAATGGACTCGTTTACAACCAATTCGGAGGAAACAATATTGCATATGTTTCTCAATTTTTCTCAATTTTGCATCCCCCCATTCACGTTTTCTCAATTTTGCATTTGCGTTCGACCAATTGAAGGCAGATGTTTCTCATTTTTTCTCAATTTTCCATCCTCTCCATTCAAGTTTTCTCAATTTTGCATCTGCCTTTGACCAATTGAAGGCATATGTTTCTCAAAATTTCTCAATTTTGCACTCTCCCTATTCATGTTTTCTCAGTTTTGCATGGTCAATTTGTTCTTCATGCTCTGCAGTCGAGGATACACAGGATGTTTGACCTTATGTGTTCATCAACTTGAATTTTTTTTTTTCCCAAAAGAAAAATAAACCCGTAGATCGGGAAAGGCTGAAGAATGAATTGGGAAATAAATGGAAAATTGGCAGCATCATCAGCGTGCGTCATTTGAAGATGGGGTAAAAATAGAGTTGCAACATGATTGATTTTTTATTTTTTATTTTATTTTAGCTGCTCGAGCTCGATCTAAGAGACTCAAGATCAACTCGACAAAAGAATACAATCACTCGAGCTCGACTGAAATCAAAATGCTCGAAAGATTGCTCGAGCTCGGGTCAAAAAATTTCAAGAAATTTTTTTATTAACCATTTCATTCACCAACCAGACCACGTTTAGGTTATGTTTGGTAAAACTAGCTGATAAGCTAGCTTATAGCTTATCGGTAATTTTCGAACTTATGATTTATAGCTGAAAAACTAGCTTATATGATAAAAGTGTTTGGTAAAATTAGCTGATAAGCTAACTGGAATAAAAAATTCAACTAGCTTTTCAAAAAAGCTACCTAAAGAAGCTTATCAAATAAGCTCGAGTTTTTTTAAAAAAACTTGTCTTATCAAACATGGCTTATTTGAATACAGGGAGCTTATCAGCTAACCAAATAAGCTATAAGCTAGCTTATTTTTCTACCAAACATAGCCTTAACCAATATAGCATCAACATTTCAGCAAATTCTAAGCAAGATTTTGGGGCAACAAAATAAATCTCGATTCTAAAATAAACCTCAAGCAACTAAGCTAAATTAAATTCTTAGCAATCTTTAGGAACAAAGATGATAATTCTTAGCACAGCAGTGAGGTGGTTACTGGTTCTGTTAGAATTTCTTAGCATAGCAGTGATAATTTAAAAGCACAGTATGATGAAGTTTCTTAGCATAGCAGTGATAATTTCTTAGAACAAAGATGGTTCTGTTGGAATTTCTGCAAGTAAATTACATTTAAAGCACTTGAATACACTACACAAAACCTGAGGTGAAAACACAACAAAAGTAGCACAACTCACAGGGAGGAACAAACAAACTTTCAATAATCAACTACATCTGGTTCCACGATTAACTTATCAATTCTGTAACAGCCCAGTCAACCCGTAGTAGGATATTGTCCGCTTTGGGTATACACCAGATCATTCCCTCACGGTTTTGCCTTTGGGAGCTAGCTCACCAAAACGCGTCCTACTAGTGAAGGTATCCACAGCCACTTATATGACATGCTTCGTTCCCCTTCACAACCGATGAGGGATATCTGATCCACCCCCTTGGAGGGCCCAGCGTCCTCACTGGCACATCGATCCGGGTACTACTAGTGAAGGTATCCACAGCCACTTATATGGCATGCTTCGTTCTCCTTCACAACCGATGTGGGATATCTGATCCACCCCCCTTGGAGGGCCCAACGTCCTCGCTGGCACATCGATCCGGGTACTGACTCTGATACCATGTAACAGCCCAATCAACCCGTAGTAGGATATTGTTCGCTTTGAGTATACACCAGATCATTCCCTCACGGTTTTGCCTTTGGGAGCTAGCTCACCAAAACGCGTCCTACTAATGAAGGTATCCACAGCCACTTATATGGCATGCTTCGTTCCCCTTCACAACCGATGTGAGATATCTGTCAACGAAGGAACAAACGAACCTGGAGTAGGAATTTTTCAGCTTCTTCACAATTTTCTGATGGGCGAAGGTAATTTCTGCGCGGCGGGCGCTTGCATCTAGCGGGAAATGAAATTGGGAAAAGTAAACGAGGGGTTTGAATTCAAAGCTCTTGTCTTCTCAATTTTCTAAATTCTGCTGTGCGTGCTACTGCGGGGCGGGGGAATGAAATTATGTGTAAAAGTAATCGAGGGTTTCTAAATTCTGCGGGTGCGAGCGGTGCGGGAAAATGAAATTGGATGTGAACTGTGAAACTGTGGATGATTATTGTGAACATTTCAAGTAAAATTACCAGTAAATACCTATATTACAATATTGTGATGTTTACATATAGGGTATTTTAGTGATTCAACACATTTCTCGAGCCGTTCGACCATGCAAAACATCCTTGTTATCAAAACAGGAAACTTTGTTATCAAAACTACAAAAACTTGTGAACCCAACAAAAAGAAATGTATAATATGTTCACAACCTTGGTCTAAAGGATGCAACCTCTGATTCTACTGAACTATTCTATAGGACTGTCGAATGCAACCTTGGTCTAAAGGATGCAACCTTGGATTTGATAGAACTATTCCATCATATGCAAATTCCATGACTTCAACTTATTCCTTCTGTATGCCGACAACAAGAAATTTCATACATCTACTCACCCATTATCTTCCATTATTATGTAGGGTTCCAATTCAGACCCAAATATCTGCAAACTATCCTTTACTCTATATACTCCAACTACCTTCTCATATTGCTCAAACACTGAATGGAAAAAGCAATACCAGAAAGTTGTATATATATATATATATATATATATATACCAGTTCTATCCAAATGAATCTCCATACATATACTAAACAACAGCACAACATGAGTACCTGATCATAGCAAGAAAGCTCAAAACGTCAACTCAAGCTTCCAATTCCAACTAGGCACCACCAGTATTTTCAAAAGGGTTCGCAGCAATATTCCATCATGAACATAAAAACTAGCAATGTTATATTCACACAATAGCTCACAACCTCTCAACCATGAAGGTACAAACAAACTTACACAAACCCATGAAATAAAAACAAAAAAAAAAAAAAAAACAAAACAAAAGGAAAGAAACACATGTAGTCAAAAGAAAAGCATAACCTCATCACAGGAACACATTTATCAAGTCAAAAGCTCGAAACCGTTACCTCGAAATTATCAGCAAGCCCAGCACTATCTCCATCACCACCTCTCTCTCTCACTCCTCTTCCTCTCGTAATCCGCATCATCCGTAGGCAATTCATACCTACAAACTGGACAAGTGTTCCTAATCCCAAGCCACGGCACAATGCAGTCCCCATGGTACAAATGGAAACAGGGCAGCTCAGTCCCTTTATCCCCAGCCGCAAACTCATCCTTACAAACTGCGCACACCTTGCCATTATCGTTATTCTCCTCGATTTCCTCTTTTGTCAACACAGCCGAAGGCAGATTCTCCACCACAGACTTTGCAGCTGGTGGACTACCCTTCATTGAGCTTTCGTTCTCCGCCAGTTGCCCGAAAACAGCATCATATTCCATGGTGAAAATGTAATCTTCCGGAAGATTGACGCGCGGCAGGACTTCATTCCGGATGTTGGTAACTGCATCCGACTCGAGAGAGCCCTCCAAATTATTCATCGCCAACAAAACTTCCCATTCCAAGTTCCTGCGCTCTTCTGCGCCCTCATCATCATCATCATCATCGTCCACTAAACTAGAGTATTCACGATCCGAAGTAGAAATATCAGAGGAAACAGATATTTCTTCGATTCCATTGATCACCAGATTCAAATTGTCCCTCTCATCAAAGTGATTTCTCTCACTCACCTCTTCCCACTCAGACTCCTCCCTCTCATTATCACCAGCACGATAATTATCGTTGAAAACACCAAAAGCATCGTAATCATCATCGTCATCGTTATTAACAAGCCCTAGATTTACCTCGGAATCGGACTCTGAATCGGTGACCGCCTGCGCCCGGCCTGTGCAGATGTCCAAACGAAGATCCTCCGACAACGGGCCCAGCTGGAACATTTCCGGGATGGAATTCGTCCCGTCATCGTCTTCTTCGCCTCCGGAGGAGAAGCAATCGGGATCCTCGTACTCGTGGTACGTGGGCCGGAACGACCCGTCCAGAATTATATCCAACAACGACGAATAACCGTCGAGGTAGGAGGAGTTGGGAGGATTATGGGGAGGGTCGAACATATGGTTGTACGGATCATAGGTGAAAAGCATGTCGCTGGTCCGATGGTCAAATTCTTCTTCCTCCTGTGGCGGTCCGTCCTCGTGCGGCGCGGGGGCCCCGGGGGGAGGGGGAACGAGTCTTCTGGACGGAGGCTGCCGGTGTCGGCGGTGGAGATTGGTGACCTCGGCCATTGGAGAAAATTTGCAGCGGTGAAAAGTGATGTATTTTTTTTTTTTTTTTGGGTTATATATTTGGGACTGTGGAGTTTAGTTTTATTGCGTGTGTTTATCTGTTTATATTGAATTGAGGAGACTTGATTTTATAAAGTTTAGAGAAATGGCACGGTTCTGTTACGGTACCATCCCATCAGGAGTTTTAACCGTTGGATACACACATAGTTATTACAAGATAGATGATCCAACGATTAAAATACCCGACGGGATGGTACTGTAACGGGACCATAGCATTTCCCTAAAGTTTATGCTCTTTGCCCTTTTTCTGTTATTTTTGCCCTAGTCTTGTTGATAGAAATGTTCTCCTACCCACAGTGGGCACATGTTAATATGTCCACCGCTTAGGTGGTGTCCACTCATTGGTAATGTTAATATGTCTAAAATACATCACCAATAAATGCATGCCACCTACGCGGTGGACATATTAACATATGTCCACCGTGGATATGTGAGCATTTCTCGTCTAATTGATTAATGCCTTGCAATGTATGGAATTGGAATGTAATATAAATTATATTTTTATTTTTTTCTTATTATTATTTTATTTGTTTTTTATTCTTCTGCTTTTGTCAAATCCTTTCACAAGCAACATATTTGATTATATATACCCAAGTGAATTCAAATTTGTAAAATTGGATCTATCAAGTCAATATGATAAGTCAATTTTTTAATATATGAATTTGACAATGAGTATTTTGGTCATTAAATATATTTGACCTCCCATTAATTAAGAGTATTTTGGTCAATAACCTACCAAAACACACTTACCTCACCCCTTC